AACCGGCAAGCCTTGGAACGGAACTCCAACTAGGATGACCGTGAGTGGTGATATATCGAAGAAGCTTCTCGTCTTCCTCAGGAGACCAAAGCCCTCTCTTCACCTTGTGTTTCCCACAACATCGATGTCCCATTTCATCTCTTTTCATTTCCCATTTTTCTCTCATATTCCTAATTTATATATACAAGGTCTCTTGGTGTTAATAAACCGGCATGATTACTATATATTTAATTAATTTTCCCTCATCAGTACTAATTTCTGTCCTGGGAGAATTAATCTATAATATGATTAACCAAACTTGTGTTGTTTCTCTTTTTTCTCTTTGTGTCTTCAAATAGAAGCCTGCTTAATTAGAGACATTAGCAGTTCACGTCACTTTCCTTGACAAAATCAGCTCTATACCTATGTAACTTGTGCTTCTAATTATTTACTTACATTGCATGCATGGGTGATGGATCCTGTAATTATCAATTTAGTTTAATGCAATAATGGTTTAGTCCTATATATTGATTAATTAGGGACCTATCATATATATATGCCTAGGATCATAATTACTAAACTAACATGGAGTTTAACTGTTGTTAACTATACTTCAAGATATACATACATCGATTCAGGTAAGAAAGTTGATAGATTTAAACACAAGTTATATATTATCATCGGATACTTTATATTGGATTTTAGACCTTTTATGTTAATTAGTTTTATACATCATTACGCGGCTTTGTAAACAAAAAACGAACACGCCTAAACGTTAAAGAATCCAAAATTATCACTTATACTTCACTTCATTATACATATGGTCAAATGCAGTAGAGTATTAAAACCAAAAATAGATAAAATGCACTAGAGTAGATCGTAAAAACTGTCCAGACGATAAAAGAGAGAAGCACAAGTTTTAATAGTGTTTGTATATTGAAGGCCTTTTAACCAAAAAAAAATAGTGTTTGAATATAATAGGAATCATAAATGGTATTAGTGTATTACTATCCGTAAATACGTTTCATTTACTAACACATTAGTTAAAACAAGAGGTAACGTAAGGAGCACGATTGCAAAATTTTCCGACCTAATCACAACAACTTGAGAATTAGAGCTTAAGAAAAATTGGATTAGTCATTGAGCTTCGAAATAGCATTTCCAATTAAGTAAGCCACGTACGGATCAAGCTTAATATATACAACGCAATCGTATAGTTTGAATCTGTCAAGTTAAATGTAATAATAAAGTAATGGGTGAGGAGAAAGCGGTTAATTAACATAATAATATAAACCCGTCGCTGTTAATTACCATATAATGTAAAAATCTTTGTCTTAATGAAGCTACATATAATTAACCATACATTTGTTTTGGTTTTCGATTAATATAACCTATATCTTCTCTTTCAGCCTTTTTTCTTGTAGTTAAATATATTTTTCTTTGTTGATAAACCCTAACAATGGGTAAACTCATGGAATAGACCACTTGGTAATCTTTTTATTTCTATAAATAAATCTAAATTAAAGAAAGAAGAGGCAATTGTTGGGCAATTCTGGTAATTAATTTGACAACATGAAGTCAGAATGATGTACCACAATTCATTTTCTTAATTAATCTAGAATAACAGGGTAATCATGATTCATGAGTCTGTTTTTTCCAAGACACGTACGCGATTTAATTGTAGGAGTATAGTAACAAAGAAGCTCTTTATTATACGTAGCTCAATTATGGGCGTTTGTCTTTCCTGGTTTAAGATTTGTTTATTTAGGGGTTGATTGGTTCATCTGCTACTATCAGTAAACGCTGCATTTGCGAGCGGTAACAATTGTTAGCGTTTGACAAAAATCATGAAAAATGCTTTATACCGCTCTGTGTCGCTCCAAACCTCTCAAATTTTAAAAACTCCTTCTCTCGAACGTTTGCGGTTGCGGACGGTTGCGATCGGATAATTATAAAAATAAAAAATTGATTTTTTTTAATAAAAAAAAGAAAATTTACTTAAAAATCAAAATAAATATAAATTAAAAATATATTTTAGTAACTAAAATTACGAAATATATCAACAATTTGAAACTTTTTAATTAAAACTTAATAATCTATCAAAATTTATATTTATAAAATCTTCAAATCGTAATTTTTTCGATAAATTATTCTTGATCACTTATTAATAAATCTAACAAACTAAAATGTTCAAAATCACAATAATCTCTCTAAAATAAAAAAAAAATTCTCCAATTAAATCATAATTTTTTTTTTGTCATAATCATAACTTTCGTCTAAGCTAAAAAGTTTTTAAAAAAACATAAAAATATATTCATGGTATTCTATTACTAATTATATTGAATCAATGATTTTTTATGTTTTATTTTAATAGTATGTTTTTGATTTTTTTATAACTATATAATGTGTTGATCACTGATTAATAAATCTAACAAACTAAAATGTTCAAAATCACAATAATCTCTCTAAAATAAAAAAAAATTCTCCAATTAAATCATAATTTTTTTTTGTCATAATCATAACTTTCGTCTAAGCTAAAAAGTTTTTTAAAAAACATAAAAAATATATTCATGG